AGAGAGAGAGAGAGAGAGAGAGAGAGAGAGAGAGAGAGAGAGAGACATAACATTAGACCATCAGTAAATAGAAAGACCAACTCGTTCGAAAGGCAGACAACTTGTCTGCACAGCTCATAACGTACATCAACGCACTGCAATCGAAAAAGATCGAACTGCTGCATGCATCGGATGCCTGATAACGGTCATCAACACACTACCATCGCTGACAAAGCTTCAATTGCTCCGAAGAACTCTAGGACGCAGCGTTTAAAGGAGGAGAACAGCAAAAAAAAATGAACTTTGAGAACACCAGCTGCGACAAGACCAACTTCCACGCATAAATACAAGTACAACTACCGCCAATCGCTGCTATCCGGCCGTCATCGGATCGACGCTAAGGTAAACGTAGAACATGAAATGCATAAACCCTGCTTTGCTCTCGCACTACCATCGGATCGACGTCGCGTTTCAAGCACAACAGTACCAAAAAGATCGAACTGTTGCATCCATCGATGCAAAACAAAACGAACATGAACAAACCACCATCGTTGACAAAGCTTCAAGTCAAAGTGACCGAACTGTACGACGCAATGTTCAAAGTACGAGCAACAAAAATCGAACTTTGAAAAGACCATCTGCGAAAAGACGAACTTTGACGCATAAATACAAGTACAACTACCGCGAATCGCTGCTATCCAGCCCAGAAGATGGACTGTTCCTACGAGGACGCAAACTTCGGATGGCATCTGCAAGAACGAGATAACCCTTCTCCACCCAGTCTCCAGTTATAGTGGCTATCCTCTCACGCGACGCAATGTCCTGCTGCATAAGTTCCCGATGAAGCTCAGCCTGGTGCCTTGCGATGTCACGTGTCGCTTCGCAACGCATCTTCACGCACTCCCTGTCAGAACGTGTCAAAGCGCTGGTGTGATCACGCATAGCACCTGTTATAGCCTGCATACTCGACTCGCGTGCATTTGTCGCAGTTCTCCGCCGTTTACCGAGCACAGGATCGAAGCTCGTTGAATGCGGCCCTCGTCGTGAAGTTCTAAGCCCCGGTGAACTGCCCGACCCGGCCGCCGGGTCTTCACTCCCTCCTTCCGTCTCACCATCAACGTCGTTGCACCTCTCACTGTCCTCAAGACGCTCCTCGTCCGCCCCTGAATCCATCAAATTCGTGAGATTAATGGAGTCCTTGTCTTTCTCCACTGGGTGTGTGATGTCATACACCGCCCTACGGAGAACGAAGTCGACGTTGTACTTCTTTCGCCTCGATGCGTTCATGTCCCAGTAACTCGGCAAACCAGACCAGCCTTCGTGCGCCTTCAATCTTCGGTAGTAGTCGAGGAGTGTGTTGAACTTGTTCTTGCACTGATCAGCGTTACGGTTGAAGCCCTTCCCCTTCATGCGCTGCTCCACATCCTTCCAKAAACCTAGTTTCAGCCGCGCRCGACCCAACGGCTCTGTSTCTTCCCCCAGAAGACTCTTCACTTCATTCCTAAACCGGCACARCCACTCTGTCTYGGTCTCTCCCCACCGATCYGTRTTCTTCTCCCGTGACGGTGGTCGTGTTGGGGGSCCTTCGCATGGCCGTGYCGTCGACGTGCCCGCCGAGTTCTCCACACTGCATGGAGTGTGCTGCGAGGTGGACGGCGCAGCGACCGGAGACGGGGTGTTCAGACCTTCAAACGRCACACGTGGGGGAGGGCTGCGCCCTGCGGCCGTCGGATCCGCAACTGCATCGCCTTCGACCGCCGTCCTCGTAGGCCACTCCACCGGTGGGACAACGGTTTCGTTGTCCCGAATGATGCGGTTGATGACGTACTCCGCTRACCYGCTTCGTGCTCTAASCGGTTGCGGTGAAACATCTCGAGGGATCGRCTCAGGTGACAGTGGGAAACTCGCGTSRCGAGTCGCCGACATTGCTGCAGGGGGCGTTGACGAACGGCACCCCACCGTCTCATTGTCCACAGAACTGACAGTCGAGGGACCTGGACTGCCATGGCCGCGTCCGTCRTGACGAGCAGGAGATGTCATGACACCACTCATGCCACGTTCGTYCRGTRACATACAAAGCCCGTCTGACATGGCCATCGCACGCATTCGCAGTTGCTGCCGAAGAGCAACCTCATCCTCTCCRCTTAACCCGATTCGGAACCCCCCCACGGGCGATACGGGAGATGAAAAGTGTYTGTGACTTGTGACAACAGACTGCACTGGAACGTCCGTCACAACGGCACAACCATGTGCATTGTCTGGGCCACGGACGGGCCCCCCACTCCATGCTGGACCCTCGAACAGGAAGGCAGAGCTCGTGTGGGGCCGCTGCACATCTCCCTCCGCTCCTCCGACGGTGTCTCCAATGGGACATTGGGACTGGGAGCCAGAGAGAGAGAGAGACTGTTGTTCCTGTCCCGCCACTTGTGATGACGAAGAAAAACGTGCAGCAGGTGGGGCCTCATTTTGGGTCTCCGAGTAACCCCAGTCATCGATAGAAGACAGGCCTGCAGGGTGTGAGTAGTGGTCCATGGAGGGCTGTTCGTCGTCTTCCGCGTTCACTGAGTCAACGGTGCAAGACGACGAACTGCAGACGAGCGAGACGGAGAGAAACGGACTTTCACGAGACAACATATCCGAACGTGCACAAGACGACACTTTTGCATGTCGTGCTGGATAGGGCGAGAGGCTGAGGGCGACACCGTTCATGCGTGTCGGTACAGCACGAGCACCTGCCTCCCTACGAAAAGCCTCGCCACAATCTGTATGTTCCCGTACCCGGCGCCTACGATCATTCTATTTCTTGATTTGTAACCCATAGACCGTACCCTTTTCTTCAGGATATGCCATGCGTTTCCACATGGGGACTTTCCTCTTCCGGAAAGTACCACACAGACTGCGTGGTCGACCCGGAAAAAAAGGTGGACGCATGACTCCCACAAACGAGAGTAGATTCCAACACACGCGAATTCACCACAAGCTTATTGCGGACACATACACCCACGGTTGCAAGACATAAGGTTACAACACTGACACCGTCTACGACGGCGCGTAAGAAGGCCTCGACTCAGTAATTTATTGGGCAAGGCGCATATTCTCTATTTTACGACATAAAAAAAGAAAAGAACATCGATGCAAAAACGACCCCCACCTCGGACCTCCCTAATATTGCAGCTTCGCGCCAACGGAAAGTGGTTACCTAAATGGCCAAAAAAATGAAAACGAAAATCTTCTATTGGCCGGCGGACAGATACCGTAACGAAATTGGTCCTTTTCGCTCAGCGCCGACGATGCACAAAAGGATCAACGATCGCGGGATGTCACAAGGACCCAAAAACGAAAAATTACGGGGCCTGACATCGACATCATGACAGAACTTCAATGCATCCACACTTCCACCAACCCGGTACATCTGCATGCGACCTTCCCGCCGGCCTGTTCGTAGTCTTCGATCAAAATCTCAATATTCTCTATTTTTCCACAAAAAAAGAAAACAACATCGATGCAAAAACGCCCCCCCCCTCCGACCTCCCTAATATTGCAGCTTCGCGCCAACGCAAAGTGGCTACCTAAATGGCAAAAAAATTGTAAACGAAACTCTTCTATTGGCCGACGGACTTTCCCCATTACGAATTCGGTCATCATCGCCATGTGCAGAAGATACACAAAAGGATCAACGGTCGCCGGATGTCATCTCAGGCCGCACGTTGTCGAAAACCCTGGCTCCGAAGAGTAAATCGATGCTAGTGGGACAAGGCCCCAGGTGGAACGTTGGGGGGGGGCAGGCTGACCCCTGAACGGTCGGCATTCGGGGGCATTCGGGGTTCGTTCCAAGGGCGAACCTGAAGGGGTTCTGCCCCCGCCATAAATTATTTTGGGACTTAAAAACTACTTTTTTTTTGTTGATTGTTTTGTTTGTAAGTTCTGTATGACATGCACTACACGCATATAAATGTTCAAGGCATTTTGCCGAGCCAAATAAAAATGAAAAATCGCCAAAGATGGCGGTGTTAAACATTCGCGGCTACTCAGTTTTGTTTTGTTTTTCACTTTTCACTTTTTGTTGTGATTGTATTTTGGTGCCTCAAATATTTTATTATTTTTTGAAACTTTTTGCGTGAGTTTTGTATTATGTGAAGTACAATTTCTCTTTTTTTATTTTTATTTTTTTTTATTAGTATTTATTTTCCTTTTTTATTTATTATTTCAAATTTGGTAAGGAATTTGGATTTAAAATAAATGTTGTTTAGTTTATTTTTTTGCATAACATACTAGGCTACCAGAGTGGTCCGGGGTCACATGCCCGATCGGGCCAAAATAATTAAAAAAAATAAAAATAAATATAATATTTGGATTTTTTTTCCTTTTTTTAATTTGGTGAAGAATTTTGATGTGACCCTGAGGCAAAAGTTGTTCAATTTATTTTTCTGCATAACATAGTTTTTTTTCAGAAGTTTTGGATTTTTTTTTTTTTTTTTTTTTTT